TTTTTTTTTTGTTGCTAAATTCCTATAAAAGATTGGTTCTTTAACATTTTCTGCAAGGAAAATCACAAGAATTTGATTGCTTGCAGAGTTGCAGGATAAAAAAACTGATTTATTATTGAGAGATTTATTAAATTCTACCAAAAATAAATAAATAAATAAAAATAAAACACTATTCATCATAAGGGAGCTCAGTATGTGATTTATTTCGTGTAAAAAACTGAAAATCTTGAAATATTTCTTAATCATTTGTTCCGTGTTCTCTGCTTGTGGGAATGAAATACATAAACCATGTAAGTTCTTTTTTTTTAAAAAAAAAAAAAAAAATTCTGGTTATTCTGTATTATATCAATTTCTTTGTTGTGGAAGCACTTTTCATCGCACTTATGGTGAATCAAGGTAAAATGGAGAAAACGTGGGTTAATATAAAAAGCTAAGTTTTATCTTTACTTCAATAGTGTGTACTCAAAGGTGTATGCTTGTGTGTATTCTACTGTGAAATATCCAATTGTGGAAGGAAAAAAAGGGGCAAAAATGAATCTTTTTAATACCCCTTAAAAAGGGTTGATCAAAATGACCTCCCCTTTTTATATAAAATTGTAACCTGGGATTTTAATTAAGTGCTTTTATAAACACTTCAATCATTGGTGTTACTTTGAGGAAGTTGGAGTAGGGACAAGACAACATCTAGTGCCTGGTAATTGTGTCCTAATATTACATATGTACATTCATTCCCTTTGTTTTGCTGCTTGGGGAGCTTAATATCTTACTTTGAACCAACTTAAGGGGAAAACCTCTGCCGAAAGAAAGTATACGTTTCATCGTTTCGTTGGAGTTCTTCCTTTTTTGATTCTAAATTCAATTTATCATGTATCATGGTACTTGTTTGTGATTCTTATTAGCAACTGTTGTGTGGTCTATATGTATTCAAGATATATCATCCAAAACAAAACTTCACAGTTCACTCACTTTCAACTCCTGTTCAGGTAATACTACCAATCTTGAAAAGATTTCAAGATTTAAAGATTAATCTCTTTAAACATGATTCAGAAACATTCTCATATTGCAAAACCAAAATATATATATTTATGTGTGTGTGTGTGTGTTATTTATTTAGAATGTTCTTGTTAATTACAGGGCATGCCTAGCAGCACGCTGGGCCAGACACCAGCTGTGTCCGACTACAACCTGTGGGCCGGGGACGACCTGTTCAAAGCCCCTGAGCCCATAATAGAGGAACCCACATTTGAGCTCGACCCGTTGGCAGCTGCCATCTCAATGATCTCCTGTGGAGAAGATGCTATCCCCCAACAATCGATGGCCGTGTCGGATATAGAATCGTCGATCGAGAATGGCCAACTCTTGAGTGAGGTCTTTTATGAGTGCCAAAAGGATCTCTTGGCCAAGGCAGGCAATGAGACCCCATTATCTGAGGTGCTGAAAATCGAGATCCCGAACGAGGAGAGGTTTCAGAAGAGCGTGAGCTCGGCTTGTTTGAGGTCGATGGAGCTCGAGCAGCAGCAAGCTGGACCGGGCTTTTTCGATTTTCCAGTGTTGGACTTTGAGGCTGTTTATGGGATGCGTAGGGCGTTCAGTGAAGGAGACATGAAGGTCAATTTTATTTTATTTTATTTACTGATTTTTCATTTACTACTTGATGATTCCTCGAGAAGGATTCGGGGAAATGGTTGATTCCTCAAAAACTCCGGTCACTGAGATATAAGTAGAATTGAGAGTACTTTCTTAAGGAATGAAATCTTACAAGGGAATTGAGAGTACTTTCTTAAGGAATGCTTACTTGCATTATTGTGCATTAATCAACATTTCAATAGTAGATAACATATTTTTAACTGGGATAAGGTAGAAGAGAAAAGATAGAATCTTTTATAGTAACATGTAGAATTAGCTGACTGTAGCTCAAAGTCGGATATATAAAAGTTATAGACGTTCAATATGTCGGCTAAATATATAAGCTAACTTCAGGGGAGATGACTTAATTCTCCTTTCCAGACATACACGCCGTTTTTTGAACGACTAAGAAATGTATAGATTGTGTTTCTTTCTGGCCTCGACAGGATTGGGGCAAGGGTCATTGATTCTGAGTTTTTATGACAGACTCTCGATAATAATGGTAACGTAAGCCAAGTTCAGTCGCCAGTCGGACATCCTAAAGTCCCGAGCATCTCTGCTTCTGAAGAACGCCGGGAAAAGCTGTCCCGTTACTGGAGCAAGAAATCGAGGAGGAATTTCGATAGGAAAATCAAGGTGAATTTTAAATCGATTTCTAATTATTATTTTGTTATTGTTTTGCTTATTTTTGTTGATATTTTGTGTTTTGCTTTTATTTCCGTGTAAAACCCGACCGAATATAGAATATGAAATCTAGAGTACAACTCTTGCTTTACAGATTCTTGATCAGATCAAGCAGAACCTAAAGCTGATCATATTTTAAGACAGCATGAACAATCTTTGGTTTTTACTATGTCGAATACTTATTTAAATTTTACTTTTTTGCTCTGATCTGTGATCTTACTGCAATGCCTTTGCTTACCTACGGAATCAATGTGAAAAATCGAATAGTACAATCTTATTTTTTTTCTTTAGAACATGTATTGAGTTGCAAAATGTTCTTTTGTTTAAAGTATGCATGCAGGAAGGCACTGGCTGACAGCCAACCGAGAGTTCGTGGCCGATTTGCGAAAACCGAGGTATCCGAAAGCTGTAAGAAGCAATGAGCCATATAATCTGATAGGGGCAAGAAATAAAGCAGCATTAGTAGTGTAGTTCTTAGGCTTTAATGAAGTATTATTGTGGGAATGTTTAGTTAGTATTTGTATGTTAGTTTGTGAACTCTACTCAATTAAGCTTTTGAACTCTAAAGCTTGTAAACTACTTGCTATGATGGTGACTGTAATGACTTCTTCATCTTTTTGTAACTCAAATGCTCCTCTAAATTTTGTGCATAACTACTATGTTGGATTATAAAATAAATTGCTCTGTGAGTGAAGCTTCACACTAATTAAAGAAGATTATAACTGTTACTGCCCACATAGGAGCATGTACAGTTTGTAGAGCTGTAAATGAATCGAATGTTCGCGAATAAAACCTTAGTTGAGCTCGTTTTATTTCGACAAAAGTTCGTTTCTTTCAAAATCGAGTCGAGCCGAACAAAAAATTTGACCCAATTGTTAATTGAACGTACATGAACCCGTTTGCAAAGGGTTCCAACAAATTGATCTTGAGTTAATCAAACAATTTAAATAAACTTTAATAAACCATCTGTTGACCCCCTAGTTGAAAAGCGGACCCACAAAGGAGAGAAAAAGATAGCCCGCATCCAATAAGCCGAGTTGAGTCAAAAAATCGGCCACCATATATAAAAGAATTGAGCTACCAGAGGCAGTGAGGCTAAAACCAAGACAAGGACATTTACCAGAGCTAGGCTAGCAGACCGATCAAAAGACAATAAGATAAATACAACTTGCAGCCTGATGATTGAAAATCACATCTCCACCGGGTAACCAGTAGACCAATCAGTCTTAGGGTCGTAGCCTCGTAGGGCAGCACAACGCATTAAATGTGTTTGTCCAATCAAATAAATGTGCATTGTATGTACGACCCAATGAAAAGTTTTCGTATTATAATTACTATAAATACCTTTGTAATATGACACGCGAGAGAATAGATTCTCGTCATAAACTCCAAAGGAAATATCAATTGACTGGTCGAAAAAAGTGTATATTTTTTATATATTTATTAGCGTATTTTTATGATTAATTTTATTGCACATATATATTTTTTTGACTTATTTATTTATTAAATGAATTTCAGTGTTTTGATATTTTTATGTCTTATTTTTAGGACTTATTTTGTGGATCTGAACGTGGACTGAGATACCAGTTAATTTGGCCCATGGATAAACCTTACAATGAGGCCCAATTTGAGTGGAGCTTATCAAAATAGGAGAGATTAATTAAGGACTTTGATTTGAGTAAAGAAAGAAATAATGAAGACTTGGACACATATTTAATTATTGGGCCTGGGAGTGGACTTCTAAAAAAGGAAGTGAAAACTCATGCTGCGATGAATTATTTAGCTGGAGCCAAAAATCGGGAAAATAAAATGCGCAGCCACGGAGCCACCCATCATAATTGGAGAAGAGTTACGCCAAATATTCACGGAGCATAGAAGCAGCCGCCAGGCCCGCCACACATACGCAGGAGAACAGAGACGGAGAGACGAGAGGAACCCGATTAATCGCTAAGGAAGTTGCACCCGCACACGAGAATGATAATTTTATTTTTCTCTTTTTATTTTTACTAGTGCATGGCCAGTGCGATACACGAGAAAATAATATTACTATTGTTAGAATATCACTTGTGAGTTGTACCACATCGTTCATACATGGAAAATAGACTCACCTTATAAGTTTAATGGGCTACTCTTCCTTCCACCAATTGGTTTTGGGATGGAACCTCATTTGGGCTTCATATGGGTTTTTCCCGCTTTTGGTGCACTTCATGTTAGTGGGACCGCACTGTTTTCCCTTGTTTCTTACATGGTATCAGAGCCGGTTCTATTGAGACCGTGCGATGATGTACCCGTTTATGGGAGTCTGCTTCCCCACGTACCCGTTTATGGGAGTCTACTTCTAGTAGGCTTGGGGCACCCAATTGGGCTTGGGCTTCTCGCATCCGCTTATGGGAGTCTGCTTCCCCACGTACCCGTTTATGGGAGTCTACTTTCCAGTAGGCTTGGGGCACCCAGTTGGGCTTGGGCTTCCGAAGGACTCACAAGTGAGGGGACGTGTTAGAATATCACTTGTGAGTTGTCCCACATCGTTCATACATGGAAAATAGACCCACCTTATAAGTTTAATGGGCTACTCCTCCTTCCACCAATTGGTTTTGGGATGGAACCTCATTTGGGCTTCATATGGGCTTTCCCCGCTTTGTTACACTTCATGTTAGTGGGCCCGCATCCGTTTTTCTCCAGTTTCTTACAACTATTGTATTAAACTAAATGTACAAATAAATTAATCAAGATTTACCCATCATTTTTAATTTAAATCGTGTTGGATACAGTTCGACCGGATGGATCGAAAATCGGTTTATAATCAGTCTAGTTCACTTGAATACCCGCAAGAATCCATCTCATGATTAGAACCTGATGTCGCTTTCGCCTTAATAATGAATGAGATGGAGTCATGCAAGGAGAGCGATCTCAGGCTCGCTCGTCGTTGGGTAGTTTCCGAACCTTGCTCTTTCTCCAGCCTTTTTCCACCGCTTTCTCAACAGAGTTTTTCATTCGTTGACTCTCAATATTTGTTATTGAATCTGTCAACACCAGTCGGTTGAACTAGTTGGATTGATACGATTTTCTAAATAAATTTGGCTCTATTTAAAATTATTTTAAATAAAATTACATATTTAAATAAAATAGAGATTTATAAATTGTTTATCAATTAATTTTAATATTTTAATTTTTAAATTATTTAAATATTTAAAGAACACATTTTATTCAAATTTATTGCAAAAAGTACTATATATATATATATATATATATATATATATATATTAAAGGGTATTTTTAAAGAAAAAAATTAAATTGTATGATTTTTATAAATTAAATTGTATGATTATATTAAAGTATATTTATAAACTAAATTGTATGATTTTTAAAAAAAAAAATAAGAAAAATAATAAAACTACTACTTATGGGCTGCATTAAATGCTGACCTATTTGTTTGCTACTAATTTTAGTAACTATATGATGGCTCTTTATATAACTATAGATTTATAGTTATGGAGAAGTTGAACCCTGAAACTTGACGATATTTAATTGATTTACGTGATTGATGATTTAGTTATTTTTTTTACTATGTTTAATTGATCTACGTGATTGATAATTTAGTTATCTTTTTGAACAGTTTTGCAATGAAGCTAACAGTTGGCTCCACAGTGGAGTCAACCTTATATATACATTATATAAATCATGCCATATTCTATATTACTTAAATAAATACTAATAATGTTATTGACATAGTATGATTTACTTGGTTGACTATACTATGAAGCTGACCGCGCGTCGCAACGCGGCAAAATTATAATTTATATTTTCCTTAACTGACCTCTACTAACTAGTAGTAGTGGCGAGTAAGGGTCGAACCCACAGAGAGTGTGAATCAAACTGTGATTTTCTTGTATTAATTGAATTATAAAAGCGATAAAGGGGGAGAATTGGATAAATTAACTAAACTAATTAAAATTCTAATGAAACAAATAAAATCGAAACAAACGAAATAAAAATAAAAATAAAATAAATAAGAGAAATTTCTAGTTCACGGTTCCGTCTACACCCTTGACTGACTCGTCTAATCAACTTTGGTATCAAATCTCGCTATCCTATGAAATTACTAGCCCTAGGTAACGACACGGTCTGTTACCATAATTTTTCCTTATTTTTAATCTAACTGCGAGACGCTCTACGATTAAATCTGACCTCTTGAACAGCCTAGGAAACGCTTCCTAAATTTAATTCAATTAGCCGCTTTACGATTTAGAAAAATAAGTTAGACTAAGTAGTGAACTCAACCGCATTTGTTCACTTAAATAGGCCGTGTTATCCCCGGTAGTTACCATCTTCCGGATACCACTTACGAATTAAACACATCAACAATTACAGATTGAAGGTCTAATTCAGGTGTAGACATGTAAAGTCTAATCTAGGTGATCAATCTAAACAAGACCAAACACATCATGGTTAATTATTCAAAATAACACAAATAATTCCAAAAACATAACTCAATAATCAACCACGAATATTAATCAAAGATCATCAAGTCGTAGGGTTTAACTTTCCTGGAACTAGAAATAAAAAACTACTCTAACATAATAAATAAAAATAAATAATAAAAGAGAAAAGAGAGAGAATAAAATTCTCCCTAGTGTGCGGGTGCGGCTTCCCTCTGCTTCCGTCGGCTTCCCCGCGTGTCCAGTTCTTATGCTCTGCTTCATTCTCTGTTCGCGTGAATATTTTTCTTCACGATGGCGGCTCTGTTCTCTTTGTGCGTATAGTCTGCTTAAATAATTCCTGAGGGCCCCCAAAATAATTCCTTTTCTCCTCAGTAAATAAATAATGGTTGCCTCAATTTAGACGTGGCCAGGTGCCGGGTCCGGGCCCGGCCCAGCCCGGCCACGGGCCCTCAAACAGCCGAACCGCGACCGTCCCGAACCGCCGGTTCACCGGCCCGAACCGCCGGTTCACCGGCCCAGCGGTTCACGGGCCGGTACGGCCCTTAAAAAAAGCAAAAAAAATGGCCCGGCCCAGCCCGGCCCGCCGGGACAAAAAAAAAAACCGTGACCCTTAATCGGACCAGATTGCCCGCAGTCCGGTTCTCGAACCCGGCACTATTCATGCCGGTACCGGGCCGGGCCGGTCCGGTATCGGGTTACGGGTCGGGCCACGGGCCGGGCCACCCGTGGCCATGTCTACCTCAATTGCTCAAATAATTAAACACCACCTCAATTAGTACTTTTCACTCCAGCCCAAATAAGCCCTCCAATTTAATTCCCTGTTGAGCGTGAGTTTTGTCATGAAACTCTTGATCAATTGGCCCATGAAAATTAGGCCCAAATTTTAATGTTCACCAGAGGGCCAACTTAAGATGTCTCGATAATTGATATGCGAACACCGTCCAATAGCTCGGATCCACAAATACTCCTAAGCACTGAAA